CAGTGCGAGCGGCTCCCCCTATGCTCACAGATGTTTACACACTCACTGTGACGATGCTAACATGCAGATGTTAAGCAAATGAATGTTTACCATATTCACCATACAGCTGAGGCTGATGGGAATGTTATTAGTTTGCAGGTTGTTTGTCATGAGCTCCAAAGTTGTTAGGGTTAAACCATAAATGTACATCATTCTGTGCCAAAGTGGAGGTAGAGATATTTTACAAAAAGTCAGGAAAGTCCAGGTATAGTATATTCTTATGAATTTAGGACACAGTTACTGTTATTATTGAACAGCTATATGTAGGTCTCATAAATACCTAGACTGGCCTTCTAGATGGCCTTTAATTGAAAATGATTGTAATAGGGATGGGCATGAGTACTCAGTTTGGACGTCAGTATTCGTTTAACGTCTGGAACACACAGCCGCAGATAACATTCATCGTTTTCACATATGACCTGATCTTTGCTCTTGTTTTCCATGGTTGGCCAATTTATATGCACGTGAAAGCAATACATAGTGATAGATATTCTTACAGAAACTAAATTCTGTTTAACTATAGAGGCTTAGGTAGGAAAAGGTAAACCAGCACAGCCTTTTTACCAGCCACATTTTTTGATTATTGAAACATCTTAATGTTTGTGAATGTGCTTTTTCTTCATGAAGGCTACTCTCTACAGTCTGTGCAGCACAGAGAGGTGAGATAACCCGTATCCCAACCGCCTTTATTATTATTTTATTTGTGAGCACTGTAATAATAATCTAAAAGGGAGTCTCTCTGTCTACTGACTGTAGATATACATTATAGAATATAGGTCATTTCATTATGTGGAGGAGATAAATATATATACGCTATTATCCATATCTGATTAAAACGGGCGGATATCCTCCTCCTGAGTCACATTCTTAAAGATGAGTCACTGATGTTCCTATCTGTTAAAATACTTTACCCCTCATGTCAGCAACAAGAATAAAGTCTTTTCCTTTTTGGACACTTTGCCGTCAGCGCAGGTCCAACACACTAAAGCAGAAGTGGGAAGCAATAGGAAGACATGAACAAACACACAGATGAAGACAGAGTGAGACACATGGAAATAGGGCTGTTCACCATTCTAAATTTGATTATATAATCAAATTGCAAAAAATAACAGACAATTGTTCACTGAAATGTAGGTCAAGCTGAAACAAGCGAATAATTCAGCAACAGCCTCGGTAATGATGGCAGAAAGTTCACAACCCAACTCGGCCGCAGAGAGATTTGCACTCTGAGCGCTCTTAAACTCTTTAAGAATAATCAAATTGCGCCAAATAATAACCAGAGCTCCATCGGCTACTGCGGGTTGCATTTATTACACGTGTCACTAGCAGAGGAATAGCTAAACATTTCACACACCGAGAAACCAGCACAGGGAGAGAAGCCATTGATAACTGCTAAGGTAAAGCTTTGTAGCTAGCAGAAGTGAATAGTGTGTAAAGAACTATGGGATTAGGGACAAATTCATTAAAAGGAGAGAGCTATGTGCTTGAGCAGAACTAGTGTGTGTTTATATGTATAGCGGGCAACTATCTGATGAAATGAAGAATATAAGTATATAATTAATAAATGATATAATAAATGTAACTGGGTTGAGCAAGAGCAGCAAAAACACGCTACCAGCAATACAGAAGTGCTCAACCAGAAATGACCGCAGCACACCAGAGGGGCTCACGTCTTTCAGTCAGTACACGCAATACTTATGTATTCGCTTATGGACATAATGCACAAAAAACAATATGTGTAGTCTAGCCTATGTGATTTTTTTTAGGACAAACAATCAACCCTGTTTTTTGGCCAACTTCGACAGCACTACATGGAAAGAGGAGAAGAGAGAGTGGAGGGAGAAGAACAGAGAGAAGTTAAAAGAGGTCAGACAGTGCTGAAGGGAACTGTTGGGTAGTGTGTCAGTGAGAAGAGAGCAAAGACAAATAGAGGAGAGATGAAGAGAGGGGAAGATGGAGGGATGGTATGATGGCTAAGGAGGAGGAGGAGGAGGAGGAGGATCTCTTCTTCCCTTTATTTCTCTGTGTCTCTCTCCCTCTCTCTCTGTGTAAACAGAGCAGAGCAGTAGAGGGGAGTTGAGCCTCCTCCATAGTGGAATGTCTGGTATGGCTACTAAAGCAGGGGGAGGGGAGAAGTGTGTGTGTGTGTGTGTGTTAGGTTAGAGGTTAGAGGAGGCAGAGTGACAGAGGGAGAGGAGTTGTGGATGGCCCTGGTATCTTAATCTCAAAGGTCAGGACCTTAAAATGTGTCATAGTCTTTCTTTGTCACGTCTGTGAACAAAAATAAAACAAGCGCTTCCACAAAGCGAGCCCAGACGCAGGATTAGGGTGGGATGTTACGGTTTACTTTAGCTGCCGACGTGCAGCCGACTCCTCCACTGTTGCCTGGACTGAAATGAGGAAATTACATAAGAAATGACAGAACATGAATGAATTTCATCCAACCTATTTTATTTGCTAAGTGGTGTAGTGTAGAAGTTGCAGTTGCCAATGACCAGACTGTTATTTTTAAGAGATAAGAGTTTAGATTGGATCCAATTTTAATGCCATGCTATGGAATGGAGCACAACAGTGACAACAATGGCACCCAGCTAAAATGATGTGCAATATAAATGATTTCAACAAACATAAAACACTCTTCTTCTTATCATTATTAATAAGTTATTAAGTCATTATTTTACATACAACTTTTGGCAGTAGTACCAAAGGTAAACATAGATAAACAATGAGAAGTGTGCATTGCTCCACGAGGCAAACTGCACAAGAACTAAGTTAGACATCAATAGTTTAACTGTGAGAGAGACAGTGCAGTGGAATGCAGTGAAAGAATTAGCTTTTCAGATACAACAAAAATATGTCAGAAACCCAGCGATGGTGAGAAAGAGCAAATAGATTCATCCACCCCCAGTTCTAACAAAAACACTGCGCTTGTACCGTAAAAGGTTTTGCGGGCCGCTGTGTGGAACAGGATTCAAAGACGAGGGTGACCGTCTGAAGCACGATGCTTTGTAATCAAAAGTAACACCACACATTTGTACAACCACCTGAAACGTCACATCAAGGCCAGGAAAACATAAGGGGAAAATCCCCGTCGGACCACAACTCAAAGATCCGGAAGATCGGTAAAGGTTAGAGAGGTTATGACTTAATGTTAGCAGTCACCACTGCAAAGCAAGAGAGTAATGCTTTGTTCAACTTGTGCTCTTAGTGTAAGGCAGGCTATCACCTGTTAGCCTCACAGTTGGCTGTGAGCCTGCAGACTGTGAGGGTCATTGAGGAGCTAATGGTTGGCTAATAACAGGTCATCTGTGTTTTAGGGCACAGAGGCTGTATCTGGCTCCAGGTGAGCTGTATATTCATGACATTGTTTTTAACACACACTGAAAAACACTTTTCAAAGGTGTTCTAAAGAGTAGCCAATAGACTTGAATTGAATTTAGCATATCCTATAAGTTGAAATAGTGCTTTTGTTATGTTTCTGTGTGCTTCCATTCGAATGAAAAACAATACTGTCCAAATGAGTTGTCACTACAAAGCTTACAGACAAACTGTTTAAATCACACATTGACAGTACGGATGTAAGGGAAGTATTGTATCCCAATATTTTGTGATCATTTATCAATTCGTATGTACTGTATGGCTCTCCGTAGTGAAACCCCCAATCATTAGATAGCAGTGTTGTAAATGTAACCCGAGGGCTCTGACATTAACAATAAATGAAACGAAAAACGAACGAGAAACAAATCTTTTGATTTCCGTTCAACAGTTCATTTGATGTTGTCACATTTTTGTGCGAGCCAGACAGACAGCAGTCATCTTATATCTGCTCTCAAATCCACAGTGACCCATACACCCAAGGGAAGTAAAGCACAAATAATCCTACATTATCTGGGTTTGTTTCTTTATTTTCTAACAGACGGTCCACAATAGACTATATTAGTGTAAACTTGTTATTATGTCCAATTTCACACCTGCATTTAAAGAAATAGTTTCACTTTTTGAATTCTGCTTCTGCCCAAGAAATAGCCTGGCACACATTTCCCTGTAATAGTGCAATGTGTTGTTTCACACTTTGGTTTTCTATGTATTAAAGAGACAACATTTAAAGTGTTAATTAGTGAGCTTCAGAGGTGCTGGGAGGCAGATTTAGTCACTTTGGGACACTGCCAGCTCAGTGTCACATCTACAGACATGAGAGTGGCATCAATCTTTTCACCTAACTGCTAGCTGAAAACTGGTTGGTACGGACTGTGTTGGTAGTCGTTGCAGGGCTGGGATAATCTGTCGATACCGTCGTATCTATGGCGTCATTGGATGTGGAACAATAAAAACTAAGAAATCTGTAAAAGAAGTGTGGAAATATACCAAAATATGAAAGAATAATTATAAGCATTTTCATTTATTTTCATATTTATCTGTTCATTATGTTTGTGCATTTAAATTACAGGAAAAGATGTACAGGAAAAAAATAATAATTTCCCCCAAAAAAATTCAAATGTATATATTTATATTTCCACATTTATTCTATTATTCTTTACGGGTGTATGTTTTTTTTATGGCACTCCTATGACTCCATATTTGTAAGGTAGAGTACGGTGAAGGCTACAAACAAAAAGGATGGTCCCTCTCTGACACAACTGTGCCCCAAAATCCTCAGATCATTTGGTTTGTGTTTTACATTACACACTTAAGGAGCTTAATGTTAAGTCTTCCTGCTGCCATGCATGACTGATAGCTAGCTGACCTGCATCTCCTCTCCTGACTCAACCCTTCTCCAGCATTGCACCTTAGGCTTTTTGTGCAGTAGCAGTAGGGGGCACTGTCACTTCCAGCACATAGACACAGACTGAACTGTTCCAAATCTTACTGCAACTCAAGTCAAATGTAAATAAACAAAAATGCATTTTAAGTGCAGTCTGACTAAGTGTCCTTGATTTTCCTCCCTGTGTCTCCTCCTGCAGCCATAGAGACTGAGAGCACGAGTTCAGGAGAGGACCTGCTCGTCCCCAGCCCCCCCTCACCTCCACCTCCGCCCCGCATCTACAAGCCCTGCTTTGTATGTCAGGACAAATCTTCAGGATACCACTACGGGGTCAGCGCCTGCGAGGGTTGCAAGGTAGGTGGCTAAACATACGCGTGAGCTAAACCTACACTGACACAACGTACACACACACACACACAGACACAGACTGTTATTGTCATGTGATGCTGCTGAGACATGTGACTGACAGCGACCAATCAGACAGAACCTCCTCATCCTCAGGGTGAAGATGAAGATAAAAATATTCAGCCAATCAGCTTCCAGCAGCACATTGTGTGTGTGTGTGTGTGTGTGTGTGTGTGTATGTACAGTATTGATCCAGCGTACAGACAGCAGGTAACTGATTGATATCTTTGAGCTCAGAACTGTTGCATTGTTTTAGTGGAATATTAACATGTTTTATTAATGTTAATATATTGTATTAATATTAATATATTACCATTAACAAAATATATTAATATAAATATGTTTAATTAATACATTAATATCAATAAAACATGTTAATATTAATGTTTTATTAATGTTTTTATTTGCCCTGAGTTTTGTCTGCAGGATCGTCCACCAATCAGAGAGCTCGTTACAGTTCAGAACAGGAAGCTTTAGATCTGATTAAGGGTCGCGGGGCCCCAATCCTCTGTCTGAGGACTGTGATCTGTGGGGGATCCTCGGCATTAAATGATGGTCTTCAGGAGGATCCTGATCCAGCAGCTGGATTTCACAGTTATTGGTCTTTACTGTAAATTATAATAAATCAGATTCAGGGCTCCTTTACTGGTCTGGTGTCTCCGTTAGAGACCAGGGGCCTCATGTACTA